GGGCTTTGGATGAAGAACATAGGAATGGAGGGGAAAGAGATGGAAAGCCAGTGTTTGAGACTTTTTCCTGGGTATTGTCACTCGTTTGGGTAGAATTGCTCCATTGCTACCCATTCTAATGTTACAATTTGGCAAAATCCAGTCCTGTGTCTTTTTTTAAATTGTAGTATATGGAGAGTAAGGGGGACATAGAAGGATACACATGAATGTGTGTACACTCAGTAGCAACAGAATATACATAAATGCTGAAATAGTTTTAGGTATCATGAGTAAGAACGTCTGGAGAAAAATGTCTGCTGAGAAGAATGGTAGAGGTAGAAGTAGTGGGTCTAAGTGGTGTGGGATGGGAAGCTAGCTGAGGGAAAGTGTAAGACTGAGTGGCTGGGGCTGCATAAAGGAGGAAAGCAATTGAATATATTATAGGTTTGGTGTTGGAAGATGCAGGGCATTGAGGCAGCTTTGATTAATCTTCTGGTGAAATCACAAATATTCTGATCCTTCTCATAGCATGGCAATATCTGGGAGATACTTGACACGAGAAAACACTCCAGAGGAAGGTTTCAGACCTCAGAAGAAGTCATATACATGTGAAGATCTACTCTGTTAGTCCAGCTGTGTTCATGATAAGGCTGTCCTGACCCCTTTCATCAGAAATTCAAGCAATGTGTGATTGCTAGGGCCAGTTACTAGAAGAGAAATGTGCCAACTGAAATTGCCCCTAGTCCACCAAAATCAGCCGAACTAAAAGGCAGAACGTGACCCTGGAGCCTTGCAGTCGAAGGGCAAATGAGGCAAGCTTGTTTATGGTCTGTTTTGCCCTCTGGGGAGCCGTTTCCATGTCTACAAAGTGATTGTAAAGTGCTATCAGATCGGTAAAGTCATCTATTGCAAGCACTTCTTGCAAGTGGTTACACAGTGGGCAGGGCTCCTGCTTCAGGATGCCCCACGTCTGTCTGTCCATGCTGTATCCCAGGAGGGAGGTAAGATACCATCGCTCTCCTCTCATAGAGTTTAGGAGGAGGGGGATTAATTAGATTTTGACCTTGCAGGCCATTAAAATGCATCCAGTCAGGCTGATGCTGAGGCTGATAATTTGGCTTGAGCTTTTCTTCCATATGGTGTCCAGTTATGGTGCGAAGCACTTGAGAGACAAAGGGTTCATCATATGCCATGACAGATTGTTCCAGCAATCATTCATTCTTCCTATTAAAAATATGTGCGTTATTTCCAATTTGAATTTGTTTGGGTTCAGCTTCCAGAAGGTAGTTCTTATGCAGTCAGTGGCATCCTGTGTTTTCTCCCCTGGAGATGCTTATATATTAATCAAGTTGACTCTCAATCTTCTTTTGATAAACTAAATAGACTAAGCACTTCAGATCTCTCACTGCAAGACATTACTTCTAATTCCAAAAGCATTTAAAGTCCTTTGGTTTTGCATTGACCTCTTAAAAATGCCGAATCACAACTATATTCAGTATTAGAATGATCTTCTTGCCATACTGGCTTTCTGTGGTACTACCTCCTTCATCAGAATGACATGCAAAACTAAGTTAACTGTATTAGAAACCCTAAGTCTATTACATCCACTCAGTCACCTTTATCAAGCGACTTGTAATCCTTTTAAAGAATGAAATGAGGTCTGTTTGACAAGACTTATACAATGGTTTTGGTGGGTATTAGCAGTGTAGCTCTTGTTAATTTTTTATGAAGTGAATCCGGTGTCAGCTTTATTGCATGCATGTATGAACGCGTGCAGCTGCCTGTGGCGGTGTCTAACAGTACTTTACAGCATCTTTTGTGAACAAGACTGGTCACCTATACAAACCACAACATTTTATTTTTTTTTTAATTCTGTATTTATTTTAAGAAAGCTACAGCTTCAAATCACCAATAATTGCATCAGCTTCACCGGATCTACTGAAGGCATCAGTGTATCCAACACCACAGTATGTCTTGCTGTTTCTAACAGCCCCTGAAAATGTTCTCCCAGTTTTAAAAATCTCCATGATGGTGCAGATCATGAAACCTTTTAATGTGTTTCACAGGAAAAAAGAAGATCAAATTCAGTCTTCACAGTATGCGTTGCTCTGTGTAAGTTGGTGTGTAGCACCCAAACTGACATTTGAAAGGCATATTAGGAAAATTTTCAGTCAAGAGGGGGAGGAATAGTGATGTCCAAACAGGATCAACAGTGTTGATTCTGGGACAGATTTTCAGAATTGCCTCTGTGATTTAGCAACCTTAGTTCTGTTTTCTGAAACAGGGTAGACATGTAAGGAGTTATTCAATAGAGATATTTTCTCCAAAAATTAAGTATAAAATGCTTAAACAAATGGGCTCCGGGGTCGGGGGCAAGGCTATGTCTAAGCCAGGAGACTAATTTTTCCTCTGGAGTCTGAAGAAAGGGGGAAGGTTTAGTGGAGGATGGATCAGAGCACACACCTAATATATATGATTTAGATCCTGAAACTTCATATTGCACCTTAACCTCCCATGTGGTGATGCTGCCCTTCCTGTTGACAGCATGTTGTGTGTGTGACCCTCACAAACACAGCAGTGCTGCGATAATATCAACTGTTTCTGCCGACAAATGGTCGCTGGTCAGCACTAGATCTGTGCCCAGCTATATCTTAGTGAGATGGAGCAACCACGAGCAAAGCAAAGCACCAGGGCCTTGGGACTGATCATCTGTCTGTGCCCTGTGCCACTTCAGGCAAAGCCTCCTGGCCCATCGCAGGGCACATCTGCTCTGCAGGGTCCCTCTGGGCATGGCCACAACCTTCCCATCTCCAGCTGGGGTGGACTCCTGAATTGATGCTGCTTAGATTAAAGAGGGTTTGGCCTGGTTTTCGGTCTTCCCCCTTGCTGGAAGGGCAAGTTATGCGACACTAGGACAGGAGACCATCTCTGTGCTCATCAAGTGCTTTGTTTCCTCCCCATCCCCCTCCAGCCATTCCTAGCCTCCTGGAACGAGACCAAACGATGCATCTGTTCCAATGTTGAAAGCAGTTCATGTTGCCATTAGCCACGTTCAGCCCCAAATTGAACCTGGCAAGCAGCTGGCATGCTCAGAGCTAGTTTGCTTGCAGACATATATGTTTTGATGGGAAATGCTGCTGCCTTTGAAATACGGTTCTTAGAAAAGGTAATTCCCCCCCTAAATAACAAACAGGCTCATGTCTCTCCTGGAAGGTGAGCCATGGATGGCAGTGTCCTGTGTGGCAGCCTATCTGATCTGTTATACCCTTTTTTTCTCTAAAACGGTCAGGTTGCAAAGAGTTAAAAGCCACTTGTTCAGTTAAAGCAGTAATCTCCGCTCAACCTCACTGCAAAGGAAAAGGAGGCTCTGTTGCCTTTTGTGTCTTCATTATGGCAGCGAATCGCTTGCAGTTACTGACTCCTTATTTGAAATTCACAGATCTGGAATGTGTGGTTAAGCAGTGCTCTCCATTTCTTGCTATTTAACTTTCTTTTAAAAAAAAAAGTTAATACTGTTAAGTATCCGAATATGTCATGAGAGAGCTCGCTTTTTTGCTTCCTTTCCTGATAGCTTCTCTCCGCACCCTTCAAAAGATAAAAAAAATAAAGCAGGAATAATTAATAGTGCTAAAGACGCAAGTCAGGACATCTTTATGCATTTAAAGTGAAAAGCTGTACAACGTGCAGTCCCAGTTCAGCTACCCAGGGAACAGCTCGCTACTTTTCTCCAGGTCTCTGAAAAAAGCTGTAATTCTCACCCCAGCCACAAGAACGTCCTGTGGCTTGAGTGGAGTCTCCTTCTTTGGAGACATTCAAAACCCACCTGGATTCAGTCCTGTGCAATCTGCTCTAGGTGAACCTGCTTTAGCGGGCGGGTTGGACTAGATGATCTCCAGAGGTCATTACCAACCCCTACCATTCTGTGATTCTGTGACTCTGTGAGCTGAAGTCACAGAGTTAGCCAGATGGGATGTTAGCCATACCACTCTATCATGTGGCCACTGCCTACAGAAAACCACTTGCCCCCATTGAAGGTGGATTTTTTGCCTGTCTGTTGGTATTTCACAGAAATCCATTGCATCAGGATTTCCTTATATATACACACCCCAGCACCCATCCCTGATAGGCTCCTGCCCACGTTCCTTCTTGGTCCATCACCAGTGAGTGACGGGGTTAGAAAAACAGATTGATTGTCCTGAAGCCCACTGGTTCAAACTCAGAGTATGTTGATGTTACCAAGAGGGAAAAATGAACCTTTGGCAGATCTTTCCATCAAAATGGACCTTTTATCTGCATTCCAGCGCCAGCTGTGAAGGACAATTAAGCGAAAAAATGCTGTGGGATCTGTCACAGAAATAGGAGCCTGAACTGCAGTTGGATTCGGATGGAAATTGGTGTTTACAAGTCACAGATCCATTGGTGACCTTTTCCAAGACCACCTGGTCTGTCAGGCAAGATGCTCAAGGCTTTGTAGGCAGCTCATGTGAAGAGCAATGTGGAGAGCGCCTTGATTAGGTTTGCAGTTCTCAGCTGAGGTTTGTAGTGTTGTGTTACCATCAGCGTGCTGCTGTGCACTCTTCTCAGCTACCATACGGGTGGGTGATGTAAGTCTGCTCTGGCTCTCAGGTGCTGGTGGTTTTAATTGAGTTCAAGGTGTAATAAGTGGGTAAGCAAGGGTGAGGAGAACTGTGTTACAAGCCCTCATTTCCGCAAATTGTTTGTGGATGCAGTCTGTGGGGAGAGATTTAGTTTCTAACTCTTGTTTTGCCAGTGGAGACTAGCTTCAAATTGGGAGCCATCATCTGATATTTGATTTCAGTGCTGCCACATCGGTGAAAAAAAAGGCACTGGTGAACATATCAATTTTGCAGCCAGTATTGGTAGTTC